ATAATTCAGAGCAGTCTTCCCATCTCGAGACCCTAAACTCGATCACTCTTGCAATATCCTTTTTGTCACAAAAGGCAACGTACTCACATGTTAGGATGCGGATATCTTTGGGGGAGGCCATTATTCTACCTACCACAGTACTGTTTGCCTTCTCCTGCTTGAGTTTTCACCATGTGCCATGCACTTTTGACAGTGGCTAAGTGGTGAGCCAGAATTTGAACCCAGGCGGTCTGGCTCTCAAGCCTGCAGTATACCTGCTTTCTTAGTGTATTTGGGCTGTTTTTCCCTGACCTTACCCCTTCCTCCAAATTTGGGAATCTGAAACAGGACTTGTAATGGCTAAATAACACTCCCTCATCTGAATGAGCCATGGCCAATTTAATCATTGGTGTAATTTTAAAAATATACAAGAGGACAGTGAAAGTTCATGTATGTAAACTTATGCTTGCACTTAGCTATTAGCTGAACTTGTGAAAGTAGCTTGGGAGCTGGTTAACTAGTATATATTCTAGAATACTATTTGCCAAACTCTTTTTCTTGAGCTATGAATAGGGATTCCACGAAGTGCGTTGTTTGGTTGTTGTTGTTGTTGTTGTTGTTATTGTTAAATGAATTTGGGAAGTATTGTCCTCCCATTCCTGCACTGGAGATTCAGTCATATTAACCCTAAAATCAAAGTCTCTGGGTAAGGAAAACTCTCTCCCTTTTGTCTCTCTCTCTGTCACTCTGTTAGCTAATGTTTCCCAGGACTATTTGACCAATGATTTTTTGGGGGTGGGGTGGGGTGCAGCATTGAAAACCATCTTAGAAAACTGAGGTAATAGGACACAATTTTAGAAACATAGCTTTGGAATCAACCCAGCCAGGTGAAGCTGCTTACCCTCCAATACCTTCTAAGCCCTTTTTTTTTTAATGTGATATATTTATCAACACCTTCTAAGCTTAAGTCTAGAGTTACTCTAGATGGAATAGTTAGAGCAAAATCATGTCTATGAAATAAACTGGAAAAGGTTTCCTACCCTCCGCTCAGAATTGCATTGTCACGTTGTTCCCTTGGTTCCTTATGTCGCTGTAGAGGTCACCTTGCACCAGTTCCCTGCTCTGTAAATGTCAGGACCAGCCTCCAGCCAAGACCAACACAGGTGCCCGAGGTCTGCATGGTGCTGTCTGTACACGCTTCCCCCAGCTGTCCTGTCGTGTTCAGTCCAGATGAGAAAGTGGGTGGCAGGACATAATCCCTGAGGATGGAGGCTATTGTCAGGGATTATTGGCAATGGAATCAGTCACTGCAAGGTCTGACGGGGTCAACAAGGGTGGAACCTGGGTTAACTGGGAAAGTGCCCGGGTGAGACGCATATCCGAGCAGTGAAAAGCGAGCCCCAGAGGTAGCCGACAATGTTTGGGGCTCTGACACGGTATATCCTCTGAGCCTCAAGGGGCCTTATGGGGCCATAGATAAGGATGTGCTTGTCCTCCCAGGACCGTGGTGCAGACCACTGGCATCATATTCACATAGTGATCGCTAAAGCTCCAAACTGGTGGGGTCTGCAGCTGGGGCTAAGAATCAGAAGTTTTTTCACTATCCTAATTGAAAGAACCATCGGCTGCACACTTGAGACCTCTGAAGAAGATGTCAGGTGTGGAACGGGTGCCTTTCCAGCTGCTGGCAGCCTCTGTGATTCTCACAATGGCACACAGAATTCTAGAGCATGATTTGAACCATCCTGGGAGGAGGATGCTCAGAGTACTGCCTTTCTTTCCTGTTACTCATGTGACCTCTAGTGGCTAGAACCAGGAAAACCTCACCAACGGATAGCATAAAAAATTGGCAGGAAATGTCTTTAATTTGTAAAATTTTCTCTTCTACTCTCTTGTTTGACATACATCCCATCATATAGTTTATCCATAATCAGTGCTGGGCTTAGGTTTCAGTCTAGCTCTGATTGTTGGTATCTCATGTAACTTGGGCTGGAGTTAGCACTTGAGCTTCCAGGGTCTAAGCTGTTTCCAGGTGTCATGACATCCACCCTAACTACATTGCAGGGTTTTTGTAAGGATCAGATGACAAGACTCCACATGAAATGCTGTATAAATCTTCTCCTTATTCCTTCAAAGCCATTGGGTCTGTGAAGGCGGGCCACGGGCCTGGGAGGGCCAGCACATTCTAGCACATTCTATAAACCTAGAATGTTACATTTCAGATGCTTTGGTGACATTTAACTCTTTCCTGGGATTCTGCATGGAGTATTCTGTTCCAATCCACAAGGATTTACTACATGGCTGTTCCATATACTTTAGATGTGCTTAATGATTTACTCAACAAGCATGAGCACCTACCTTGTGCCGTATACCATAGTTAGTGCTGGGATCCAGCAAAGACCAGGACAGACAAGGCTCAGACTCTGTACATTCAAGTGAATTAAGGGAATTCATAGATGGGTGAAATGACTCCTGTCCTCAAGTGGCTTTACAGCTCACTTGAGAAGGTGCAAGCTTCAGTAACTAGATAGGACACACATCAGTGTGTGACAGCGGCCTTCACAGAAGTGTAAACAAGTACTGTGAGGTCCCCACTGTGCTGTGTGTGAAAGGGAGAAGCTAGAAGTAGTGAACAGTGCTCGCTAGAAGTGTAATGATAGAAGAACGGCTCAGGGGAGGTGATCTGAACATTTGAGAGGTCAATGGGAAAATCGTGAAGGTCAGGTTGGCAACTTGGTCTCTATTTCTAATCCTAGAAGAGTTGCAAACCCCTAATGCAGAACACCCACAAAACTCATCATTATCATCTCGTCGTCATATTGTACTGTAAGATGCCAATTAAATAGTAGCTGCTTCTCTTCTAAATGTTAACTTTTAAAATATTAACTTAGTCCTTACAACAACACTACGAAGTAGGTACTTCTATCATCATACCCATTTTACAGATAAGCAAACTGAGATATGAAGACAGTAACTAACTTGCCCAAAGTTATTTGGCTGCTAAGTAGTGGAGTCAAACCCTCTCTGGCTGGCTTCAGAGCTTGCATGCTCACCACTATGCTGTGTTGTTTCTGAAGGCTCCAGTTATAAGGTCAACTGGAATTTTTAGAAATAAATACAAAGTATGTATGCAGTTCAGCCAAGAGTGTTATATTCCATGAGAGTAGATGTTGGAGCTGTGTAGAGATGAAATTACCTTAGGTCTGGGATTACTTCAAAATAATTTTAAAAAGTTGAAAGGAAGGGCCAAGGATGATAAAATCTTAATAAATGTTTGCCTTGAGTGATGTTTATAATACTTGTAGGGGTCATTATAGCATTCTCTAATTAAATGAAAACTAGAAACCGTTTCTTATAGTTTGGCCATTTTGAAATATTTATTATCTTAGTGTTAAAAGACTTTTTAACTCAGACTGAAGTGTTGAGTTTCACTAACGTGAAATATAAGGTGGCTGGAAAATGGAGCACCCTCTTCTGAATGTTAAAATCTCCTTTCCACCTAGTCCCCAAATGTGATGTCTTTGTTTTTGCTTTTTAATCAGTAAGGGTAGACCTTGCCAAATGTACTTGATAGAATGAAATGTTTCAGTGAAAAGAGACAGCAAAGACAAATAATTCCAAAGTTCTCGTTGTACAGCTGTGAGTTAAAGCTTGGAGAATGTAAGTGAACATCCAAGACTAAAGTGGGAACATTAAGTGCTTATCTGAAATCAACCACATAGCCAGCTACTGGAAAAGCAGGAGTTAAAAACCTGGATTTCCTGAATCCTAGGCGAAGGAGCTTATGGTCTATGCTGAAGCAACCCACGCAAAGACATTGACTCTGGGCTTCTGTTATTCCAAGTCAGAAGTCTGGGTTGTGAAGTTAAGTAAGGTGAGTCACCTTCAGCTGGGGACTGGAAGAGGTCAATGGGCCTTTAACCTCCCCAGTGGGACCATTCAAGTCCAGAAGTTTAACAACTGCCAAGGTCCCCATTTATTTATGTTTTCCCTACACACCTTGTTCACAGATTCCAGCTATGTCACCCACAAAGGGCGTAGTTGGAAAAATGATAACTATTGCACCTGAAGATACTTCCCAAAGTGCATTTGTTGCTCTGTGGCAATAAAACCCATCCTTTGCTGGGCCGGAAAGCAGCGCCAGGCATTTCCCAAAAGGGAGGGATGCAGATGGTTTTGGCGAGAGTGCCTGGAGTGATTGCTACCTCTGATTACTTCGATCTCATCTTCTCATCCTGAGAATTTTGGAGGGCATGTCAGGAGCTCAAATCACACTGTTTTTAAGTCTGGCGCACACCTATCCTACTGCCTTTGTTGATATATGTTCCTCTAAGTTGGGCGAGAAGGGGTCTCAGACCCAAATGCTTTCAGGATCCCCGCAGGTAAGGTAAATGAATGAAGCTGGCCAATGTAAGACCTGGGTGACATGTCTAAGACCCGGGAAGAACAATCTCATTCTCCTTCTCAGGTTTGATGACACTGTGCTATCCACACAAAAGGCCTGGGTGTGTCAGCAGAGAATTGGCTTCCTCTGGTACAGATGATAGCACGTGGTGAGGACAGCAGGGGACCTGGGTGCCATCACTGGCTCCTAGTGACCTCGACACAACCTTCCCTTTGCAAAGCCTCAGGTGTCCTCATCCATGACAGGCTCTCTAAGGCTCCAAGGTGTGCCACCTCTGACAGGCTTACCTCTACAATCTGTGATAGAATATATGTTTCAGAAGGACTGGGAGGCTCTGTCTGTCTATTTGTCTGTCTGTCTGACAAAGTACCAGCCAGTTTGATCTGACTGACTTTTTAGAATTGGTGTTTTTGAAGTCTTTGTTAGATGGGTTTGTGCATTTAACCTTCAGTGCTTTGATCCCTGTAATAAAACAGCCTGTATTTAACCACCATTCAGGTACCACTTTCTATGTTAGAGGTTGCTTTTTTTTTTTTTTTTTCCAGTTTTCTCTCCTTTCTGAAAGCAGTCATGAGCAGACAAGCTTAGAAAGGGTGTTCTCTTCATGTTGTTTCAGGGAAAATAGAGAAAGTCAAACCTCCTCCATCCCCCACCACTGAAGGCCCCGGCCCGCAGCCTGACTTAGCCCCCGAAGAGGCTGCCGGAACCCAGCGGCCCAAGAATCTGATGCAGACCCTCATGGAAGACTATGAGACACACAAATCTAAAAGGCGCGAGAGAATGGATGATAGTAGTGTAAGTTTTTCCTCCTTCCCTCTTCCGCGTCTCCGAGGGCAGCGTCGGCGTGACGTATGGTGTGCTAGTTCAGGCACACATGTGCTTGTGGTCGCCCAGGCCAGCGTCATGGTTCCAAAATCAATTTGCAAATGTGTGTTTATTTAACATGCCTGGAGTCAGGGTTGGGTTTTGGCCTCGCTTCCCCACAATGTTGATCCTGTAAGGAGCTGGTCCTTCTGCTGCCAAGTATCATTGGCGCCCACTGGCAAGGCTACACCATGAGATATTTGGTGTGTAGAAAGACAGCACGTAAGGGCAAGGTGGGCAAAGAGGGTGTAAGCGCTGTGAAATCATCCCCAGCACCAGCCAGCCGACTTCTACTGTTGCTTGGCCTGCTCTGTAGAGATTTAATTTCTCTAGAGTGCTATGAAGACGCTACATAGTGCTCAAAAGACTACATGTGTTTGCAGCAATTACCAAGCCTACGTGCATAGTCTGGCAGGAAAGAGCCGCGCAGAGTGACAGTTAAAAACCACAAGGCTACGCTGCTGCCCTCCCTAAGCCTTATAACTTTGCACATGACATTCACGTTCACTGTGACAGAAGTCATCTGTTCTGAGGTTTCTTTCTCCAGTAAGAGAATGAGTTGCTGTTATTCCAGACAGCCCTGGGACCAGCCTCAGGTTTTCAGCCAACCTCCTAAGAGTCTTCTGGCATCAGTCTCTTAGCATGTACTGAGGCGATCATCCCTCCCCTCAATGCTCCTAGGTCACAGATAACTTGGTTGGTTGAGGATGCTACCTAGTTTACCTGGGACAGTACTAGTTCATGCCTGGTATCCTGGTGTCATTATTAATGCCATTCCTTTTCACTCTTAAAAGTGTTCCAGTTTGGGTGGTCACCTTAAACTTGAATGCTGTGGGGTTCACATTAGGAATTCTATGCTGACTTAACTGCCCTTTCTATCCTGACTTTGGATTTCTGGAGTTGAAGCCACATAGTAGAAGTTACTTTCAAGATACATAGTGGTAAAGAAAGGAAGAACCGAACACAGGTGGCAGTCTCGCCACTCACTTGGCAGCTCCCAGGCCCTCCCTTGTGTTTGCAGCTGAACTGTGTGGATCACTGGCTCAGCTACTCTACCAGGCTAGTGCTGCTCTCCTGGGCTGTTCCCCATATTGCCCAGCGGGATGAGACCTGCCCCTCGGTGGCTATGGACATTTCCACCACCGGCTCCACTGCAGGGGTGCCAGCAGCATCTTCCCTGAGTCTGTAGGACATTTCCTGCCCACTGAGTCACTTTAGCCAGGCCTTCTTTGTAGCCATCTATAAAACTATGGAGTTCACCTCTAGGAATTTTCCAGAGCCTGTGGCCATTTTGAAGCTTAGTCCTCTAAGTATCTTATTTCTTTTCTCCCTATAATTCTGCACCGTCAGCCAGCAGCTTTAGTATAAGTTAGCCAGGTGGACCCCTCGTTCCCTGGTGTGGATGCTGGGGAACCACTTAGCACGTGATCCATGTGCACGTCTGCTGAACACGCTCTGATTGTCCCCTGCTTGTGTCTTTTGTGGAGTAGTGTTAGAAAAAAAAATGCTCTGTGCAGAAGAGAAGAGCCAGGTCTCACTCATTTCCGGCAGGGATCTAGAAGACTCCATTGTGTACACAGCAACACTCAGGCAGCCACCTAACAAATGCCCCTTGGCCTTCGTGAAGCTATGTGGAATAGGCATTTTAAGACGCCAGTTGCTTTCACTTGCAGAGTGAAGAGGCAGCCTCCCGTTTCTGTATTTCCCAAGTGAATAAACACTTCAAATCATGAAAAAAACTTGTTAACTAACCAAGCTGCGACTATCCCTGGGTCTTGAATTCATGTCCATTTGTTTCGCGCTAGTACTGATGTTACAATCAAATCAAATTTGTTGTTGAAAATTCTTAGGAGCAAGATAAAAATCTGCTCAACCCACTGTATCCTCTTATAAGGGACCCAACTCTAAAATAACAGACTCAGATTGCTTCTAAAACAAATACGTCACATCCGCCAGTCTTAATAGGAGAGCCCGTCTCCTAGCCCTTCTAATTCAGGGGATCTTTTTCTGCTATGTCTGTGTCACTCACTGGTGAACATGTTGAAGTTCACCTGTAGGGACAAGCCATTGTGTTTTTTTCTAGCTGATCTGTGGCCCCTTTTTTGTTTTTTCTTTAATTATCCATACCAGAAGATGATAATAATAGGGAAGGCATGGCTTGGTGGCTGAGTAAGTGGCTTAGCTGTCCCTAGAAGCTAAAGATCATTGTGTTCAAGTGAGCCCCTGGGCAGCATGTGGGTGTGTCCTTTCAGAGACGATAACCCACACTTGAGAATCCAGGAGTAACTCACACATGACTAGAACCCAAGCATGTGCCAGACCGTAGAAAGTAGCAAGTTCTTTGTGAATTGAATGGAAAGAATTTGCATTTGCTGTGCTTCCCAAAACAAAACAGGCTGATCATCGGCATGTATGACCCGTTAGATATGATGATATCAGTGGGCGTGAAGGACAGGAGAACAAGAAAGCTAGAGGACCCCGAGGAAGCTATGCCCTGTGGTTTTGCAGCACGACTTTCGCTGACAGATCTGAGAAAAACTGATCCTTGACATCAGAAACAGGTGCAGTGTCCTCCAGCCCCTATCAAAGCAGCCATGGTCTCTATAACCCTGTCTACCAGCTCAGAACCCTCCCCACTTCAATTTTCTAAACTTTCCTAAGCAGGACAGGCAGGGAGGCCCCTGGCTCAAGGAATCCTTGCAGGGGAATGGTGTGAAGAAAGTTGTATGGCCCTTGGTAGCCCCACCCCCTTTTTTTCATGCCCCTGAGCTGTCATTCTCTCCTTTGCTGGAAAAGGGGGGATGATCTGAGAGCTCAGAGCACAACAAAAGATGGAAAGTTAAATCCTGCACCGTCTTGGAACTTTTCCCCAGGAGTCACTGTTTCTGTGATAAGAAGTCATCTGTGGATCTCCTGGTCATTTGGCAGCTGGTAAAAATGATCAAGGACAAGGAATGTGAAAAAGCCTGTTTTCTCAAAAAGTTAACCACCACTAGCCATGTTTGTTCCTAGCCTGGAACTTGAGCAGAGTGCTCACATGGCACAGTCACCAGCAAGTATCTCTGGCCCCACTTACTAACAACAACCCCTTGGTGAATTTTTGAGGAAGGTGAATTGCCATCCCAACCCACCTCCTTAACTGGGGCTATTTACCAGCCTAGGCGAGGCCTCTGTGTGGATTAGGAAAAGCCTCCCCTTTCCACACTCTGCCAGGATGCAGCCCCACTGGGTTTCAGCACTGTTCATCCATTTACCTTGGCGCTTTTGTGCAGTGCGTGCAAGAGTTTGCCTTATCTGGAAATATTATCTTGTGTGGAAATGTACCCTTATCTGGGTCTGATACTGTTTCTAGTCAATCACGCAGCTCATAATGGACTAAGTGAATCATAGTTTCCTAAAGGGCTTCTCGGCGCCTGTCAAAGGGACGGCCTCAAAGTGGGGCTTGCACACTCACGGATCTGGAAGATGTTTGAACTGCAGGCCACAGATGATGGGCTATTTGGAATTTTTTTTTTAGGCACCAAGAGTCCCTTCAGGAAGCTATGATTCACCAATGCATTGTGAGTTGTGTGAGTGTTATTTAGGCAAATAGTATTTGTCTGGCCAGTTGTTTCCCCAAGCTGAGCTGAGCCCCAGAAGGTGAAAGTGGTGGGTCACTGAGTCGCTGATGCTCTGGAACATGTTGGTAGGTTTGCTTTCCCTTTCTCGGTTGAGGGGATGCTGGCCAGAGTCCAGATCACAGCCTTCGGGGTGTCCAGCTCCACCCTCACTGCTCGTACAGGATCTGATCTCATTGGCTTTTTCCTGTGTTCTCTCTCCCCGAGCCCTACTTACTGAGAGGTCTTCCAACCGCCCTGTCCTGTCTTGGAACAAGAGAAGCTTTATCAGTTCTCCTGGGCTATGTCAAAGCTGAAGCCTGGCTTCTTTAAGAATTCTGGCACACTTTTCCCTTCCAAACCAGGATTAGTGTTGAGATTTGTGGCCTTATTCTCCCTGAGCAAGTGAAGAAGCTCTTCTGCCCCCAGTGCCCCCCTCCCCAACTCTACCGGAAGCTCAGCCACAATCGAGGATACCTTGTGCTATCCAAGCCCTCTTTTGGGCTCTCACTCATACCCTAGGAAAGGTACAAAGAAAAGAGAGCCCAGGCTTGTCAGCTCTTGGCCACCAGCCTGATCATTATAGAACTGTGATTCTTTAGTGCTGCAAATGAGAATCAGGTGACAGTCACAGACGCGTGATCCCATCTAACCAGTCTATGGCTACCAGTACCCCAAACCCATAAATACCTCACATGTCCTAACCAGAGTAAACCTAAGGTCATTACCACAATTCTGAAGGTGGCTGCCCTAAGTTAGACCTACTATCTCATTTCTCACAGTTGGGCTATTTTTTCCATGCTTTTCTTGAAGAAGACTTTTAGTCTCCTATAGGAACTAAAGAATCATTTTACTTCCCAAGTGCTCATATTAATCCTAAATGATCATCCCACTCTCAAGAACTGTTCCAGGTCCCCAAGGTTCTTACACAGGAGGCTATGTGGTCTCCCTGTGCACAGCTACCCTTAGGTGAGTTTTAGAGCTCTTGCTTTGACACAACTTGCATTCAAACAAACTCCTATCTTTTACTAAGGCATTCTTTCAACTGGACCACAGTCTACAAGACTGCTTTGGGGTCCTGAGAAGCCTACAGGAAGAAAGAAGTGTGTTTGGCTACAGATTCTAGTAAATCCAAAATGGCCGCCAAGGGCCTTGGTGATGGGCAGTTGGTTATTTACTGTGGGGAAGGAATCTTGTTAATTCAAAGTGCAGAAAATCTTGAATTAACGAAGTATGGCTTATCTGATATTTTTATTGATGAATAATAGGGTATCTGGTTGCTCCAAAAGATACAGACTTTTAAATAAACTAATATCAGATGAAGCAAGTCTTGGC